TGTTTGTGTTTGTTTATTATTTTCCCTCCTTTTTCTCTTTCCATTCTCTTTAATTTTATCCTTTGTATATCCATTTTTTGTTTTTTCTTCTTCTGTTTCTCATTTCCCCTCTTCTTTTATTCTCGTATTTTTCTCTTCTACAGCTCCAACTTCCTGTCCTGTCTAAGTTATTAAGTGTTTTATTTTTTCTTATTTCTTCCTTTTATTTTCTCTCTTATATCTCTCTTCCATAGCTCCATTTCCCAATCCCTCTTTTGTGTTTATATTCTTTTTTTCTTGTGGCTGCCTGTTTTTATTTCTCGTTGTTATTTTCTCTTTTCATTGTTAGTTATCTGTTGGTTTATTCTATTTTATTTTCTTGTATGTGTGTGTTGAAGGGGTTTTCATTTTCCCACCCAACATAGAACACAGCCACAATCAGAACCTTTGGAGCTTCACCCACTGGGCAATAGCCAATACTAGCTCCTGTACCACCTAATCGGTAACAGACAACAGATAACAACAGTCAAATACACTCTAACCTGAGGTACATAAATGGCGAAAGCAACAGTGTACATGCTTCCATTTTCTCACTACACCCACAGTAGACAATTGGTGAGAGCTTAAGAACAAAGCATCATACAATCATCAACTAAATACAAATATGACAACAACTCCACAATGCAACATAGACCACAAATGATGAAGATGCAGAGCCAGAAATCATTACTGAGAAAGAAGAGGTAATGGAACTAACTGAAAAAAGAATTCAAAAAAATGCTATTTCGGTAGGTACCTTCCAAGGGTTTGCAGAAAGATCAGGGAAAACACGCTGTTGTTGGTGGTGTTGTTAAGTGTCATGGAGTCGGTTCCGACTCATAGCAACCCTGTATAAGGCTTCTGAGGAGCAGCTAGTGAGCTTGAACCGCTGACCTTGTAGGTCAAACCGACTTTGTAGTCCAGCACATTAACCCACAGTGCCACACCAGGACTCCAAGGAAAGCAAGCAGAACACAGGAAAAACGTTAGAAGAGTTTAGGAAAACACTATAAGAACAGACAAGATGAATGCAAATTTTGAAACAATACAAAGCCTACAATTAAAAAATCAGAAGACTAATACTAAGATTTCAGAATTGGACGATACACTGAAAGGGCTAAGGAGTAGATTCGAAACAAAGAAGCACACATTAGTGAGCTTGAAGGTAAATCTCTCAGTACTATTATTCTAGAAGAACAATCCAAAAAAAGAATGGGAGAAAGCCTAAGAGTTATTTGGGACACCATGATGAAGAACAAGTTACAGGAGATCTGACTTCCTGACTAGGAAGAGACAATAAAAAGCACAGAGAAAACTGCCAGAGTTGGAAGAAAATTACCCTACCATCATGAAAGACAAAAAGATAAGGATACCAGAAGCTGAACAAACCCCAAAAAGGACAGATCACAAAACCAAAGACAAGGATAGAATCCTGAAAACAGCTTGAGAAAAATGAAAAGTTTCCTACAGAGAAGAACGAATAAGACTAAGATCTGAATTTTCCGCAGATATACTGCAAGCAAGAGATGACATATACAAAACATTGAAAGAAAAAAATAAAATTGCCTCCCAAGAATCAGAAAGCTAGCAAAGTTGTCCCTCAAAGCAAAAGTAGATGTTTCCTGACAAATAGAAATTTAAAAGATTTGTTATGATCACACCAACTTTATAAAAAATGTTTAAGGATGTTCTTTGGACTAAGAACCAACAACAAAAAACAACAAACAGATCAGCACACATAACACCACCGTCCAGACCTGCGCCGTGGAGTCGGTTCTGACTCACAGCGACCCTGTGCAGGGTTTCCAAGGCTGTAAATCTTTATGGGAGCAGAAAGCCTCATTTTTCTCCTGCGGAACAGCTGGTAGTTTCAAACTGCTGACCTTGGGGTTAGCAGTCTAATTCGTAACCACTATGCTACCAGAGTTCCAGACACAGAAGTATTTAATGTAAAACAAACTTACAAGACTGAAAATATGGAACCTGAGGTATCAATTTATAATGAAGTAAATTATAAACCAATAAGAGGGAATCATGCAGATAGAGAACTTCCAAATGCTAAGGAAGTAAAACAGATTTCAAGAAAAACATTATTTTAAATAGGACAAAAAAATAATAAATTACAAGGCAACCTCAAAGAAAATTAATATACTTGCACATCAAAAATAAAAGAGGAAAATCTGTAAGATTTAGTAAACGTTGTTGTTGTTGTTAAGAGCCATCGAGTCGATTCCAACTCAAGAGCAGCTGGTAAGTTTGAACCGCTGACCTTGCAGTTTAAACAGCTTTGCAGTCTGGCGCATTAAATCACAGTGCCACACCAGGACTCCTTAGTAAACATTAGCACAACAGAAATAAAAATAAAAAGAGAACACACAAAATGAACTTAGTGCAGAAATTTACGTGGAACAAAGAAACCAGTAGTAGCACCACACACACAGAGCAATATGACAGTAATCAATTAATAACTATCAATAATTAGAGAGAGTAAATGTATTAAATGCACATAGGTAGCATAATGGATATTAAAAAAAACAAAAAACAAGAAAACAGAATCCTTCAATATGCTGTCTATAAGAGACACATGGAAAACATAGAGACAGCTTAAGTGCCCATCAACAAAACAAGGGATAAACAAACTTTAGTATATACAAACAACGGAACACTAGGCAGTGTTAAAGAATAACAATGTATCTGTGAAACACCTCACAACATGGATGGACCTGGAGGACAGACATTATGCTGAGAGAAATTAGTCAATCACGAAAGGACAATATTGTATGCGACAAATGTAAAAAGTTAAGAAAATATTTTCTTAATAAAAGAAGCAATCTATGACGGTTACAACAGGGAGGTGGGAGGAAAAGGTATTCACAGGTTAGAGGATAGACATATACGTCAACATAGGTGACAGCGCAGGCAATACACAAGAGGAAAATTAGCAAAGGAAAGAAGAAGATAGCAGGAGACACAGAGAGGAATGCAACAGTTAAAGTGAATAGAGGTCAACACTGGAAAGGACTGCAAACATTGTAATGAGGTAAAGCACATGATTTCATGAATGTAAAACTGATGATCTATTCTGTAACCTCTCATTTCACACACTAAAACAAAGAAAAAAACAAATTTACTAATAAATAACTCACCATAGACATATGAGGATCAGGGACTTTCACTATCTCAAAGCTTGTAAGAATCGGAGATGATTCATCACCATCCTAGAATACAGAAGTTAACATAAACAGACAACAAAATGGTAAAAAAAAAAAAATTACACATTTTAATTCTTATCATTACTCAACTGTATTTTAAAATACATATCCATCTTTACTCCTATTGCTGTTGATAAAACAACTTGAGAAAATTTTTAAATGTTGCATTACAGTTTTTATATCTGTGAGTAAGTTACTGTTAGGTTCCACTACGTTAGCTTTGACTCAAATTGTTGATAACACAATGTTGCCCTGTTCTGGGTCAACATGACAATCACTTCTGGTTTTGAGCCTACTTTTGCAGCCACTGTATCAATCCATTTTATCTACAAGGTGCAAGTAAATTAGTAGTCTGGCATTAATTAAAACATCGCATAGTGGATATGTTGTATCATTTTCAAAATCTTACAAATAAATGTTGATAATGTTTCAATGGATCAGAATTGAGCTCATTTCTGAAAGGAGCATTGTATGGGTAAAGTTGATAGCACTCAAAATTTCCTCACAGCTAGAAACTCAGCAGCATTGTTCCTCAGAGGAAGACCTATTGAACATAATGCAAACTTGAATAGCAAGAATCAAACAATGCATTCTTAAGAAATAAAGCAGTTATTATCGCTTTTGAAGAACGCTGGTTTTTATTTGTGTCCAATCCAAGCAAGAAAGTTTATCAGTAAGAAAAATGTTAGACAAATCCATATATAACGATAAAGTCTAAATTAATTAAGATCAACATTCATTTCTTTACAATTGTATATCTAGCATCCAGCTTTTCTGTCAACTTCCAATGAGTATATTTTCAATTTTAGGTATTTGTAAAAAATCAATAAAGACAGAGAATGGGGAAGTATTGTGATGTTAGTTTAGTAATTGAGCTTACTGCAAACCACAGAGTCCCACAGCTGTTGTTTAACAGTCTGGCTCTAAGTCACAACACTAGAAAACACAATTTATCAGCCCAACTGTGACAAGTAATCTTCACTAAGCCTATCTGTCACAAAAGACAGGTGACAAGAAAGTCTATTTCTATTAGATTCAATACACTGGCCCCAAAATCTTTACACTAAGTGGAAATATGACAGGGTAGGCAGACAGGCACTAATTTATGAACAATTTTCAGGAAGCAGTAGAAAGGGGTCAAGAACCTTTTCAAAAATACTAGAAATTATTCCAATTTCTTTTGTGTTGTTACTTCATCTGTTATCCAAGCTCTTTTCAAAACATCCTTTTTACATAATGTTCCAAAAGCCTTCTGTATCAGTATATTCTTTGTAGCACAAATATTGTTTTTAATAAAATTATATACAGTATAATATGTAAAACATGATTTTATTAAAATGCATTATATTAAGCAATACTAAATAGTTTACATTCTTTTTTACCAAGCGGTATCATGTATAAAACAAAAAAACAAAAGAAGTTGATTTTTCCTCATCTTTCAATAAGGAAAAACAGGTAGAAGCCAAAGAAAATAATATATATGAATATTAAAAACTTAAAAATAACATGAATATGACAATAAATGAACTACACAAAACAAATTCCATATGGAAACATCTTTCAAATCGTTATAAAAATAGATTTATTTTAAAAATCACTTGTGACAGCTTTGACACACATGAATTTGTTAATGTAAAGTGTTGCTTTTAATGAAGCCATAACTGCCTATGAACACTAGCTATATCAGAAAAATATTCATCTATTTTGAAATGTAGCAGAAAGCAGCCCTCAATGAGCACTGAGTCATACACCTGTCCACTTCAACAATAATAGAAGGGACCTGATTTATGTGGTTTCTAACTAAAAATACAATGATTTCTGTATTATTCAAGTAAATTCACTTCATTAGGCACTTAAAGGCATAGATATTTTTCAAATAGTCACATATCAAACATGGAACAAACTACTCTTTCACATAATGAGCACAGATCAATGTGTTCTTGTTCTTACTCAGCTTAATGATAGCAAGACCTTCTCAATTTAGCAGGGATTAATAAATACATGCATATTTATGTAGTCTTTATAAGCTTACTTTTGTTATTAGGGTCAAATATACAATTCCACCATGTTACAAATACACAGAAATCTACTATTAATTCCCAATAACTTAACCAATAAAAATATGGTTAAGACTGGTTATAATTATGATTGATTATTTCCAATTAGTAACTGCAAAGACAATTATTATTTCAGTGGCCGACTTGCCAATTTTCAGAACAATTCATCAAAAAGTTTGTAATCACTTACACACTTATTGAATTCTGTAACCCAGAACTACATTATATGAATGATTGGCTTTTGCAATCTTATTGTGGCTTTATGATTTGATTTATGTATATATAAACAGCTGCTGATGACAGCTGTCTGCTGCTATCTTGCAACCAAATAATTCATCTCAGCAGGAGCACCAGTAGTATTTTGTAATGTTTCCTCTCCCCTCTACTTTAGAGACCATAAACAGTTTCAAGGCAAATACCTTTTCATAATATACAATACCATATTCCTTATCTTCACTCTTGACGCACTGAAACTCAACCATCAAGTACATGAAATTAGAACTTCGTTTTTCACTCTAAAAAAAATTAAGAGTTTTTTTGAAAAATTATCTCAAACATTCTCTGAAAAGATGAGTACATGGTTTTGTTGGTTTTTTTTTTCCATAGTGGTATCATACCTCTCACGGACAGTTGACAATATAATTGTTAATGTCATTGTAATATACATACCAGCGCTGTTTTATCCAACAGTCTCTGTTATTGACTTATAGCTCCCTCCTCAAATTTAATAAGGGTTTTGGGTTACTAAGTTGTTGTTAAGGCTTCTAGTTTTATATAAAACTTTGAAGCTTCTATGCATAAATCTACATGTAAACTGTTATTTCAAAAATAAATATAGTTTGTACTTCTAATTAATGGCTTTTAATCCATATACCTTGTGGAGCACTGTGGGTTAATGTGCTGCATTGCAAAGTTGGTTTGAACCAAAAAGTTGACGGTTCGAGGTCACCAGCGTATAAGCCTGGAAACCCTACAGAGGGTCGCTATGTATGGGTTGGAACTGACCCAATGGCACTTAACAACAACAATGTACATACATAAAATCACTATGGTCTGAAGAGGTCACTTAAACTGTTCAACTTAAGTATATTATAGTCTATAGCAGTAATAGTAATATATTTCTATCTTTCATAGAGGGATATCAGGGCATTAGGCAAAGTAAGTCATAGCAATGCATACTCTACTATCCAAACCTGCACCATAACCCACTGCCATTGTTGTTGTTAAGTGCCGTCAAGTTGATTCCGACCCATAGCGACCATCTACAGGGTTTCCCAGGAGCAGCTGGTAAACTTTAACCACCAACCTTGCAGTTCAAATGACTTTGCAGTCTGATGCATGAGCTCACAGCACCACACCAGGACTCCAATCCACTGCCATAGGTGAAAATAAATCATACCAAGCCAATGTGAGCAGAGTTAGAAGTGTCCCATAGAGTAGCCAAAGTAATCCTTATAAAATCTTTATAAACTTCCACATCTTTTTCCAAAGGAGTGGTGGGTTTGAGTGTTGACATTTCAGTTAGCAGCGGAGCATTTTAACCACTGTGCCACCATGGCTCCTTTGCTATTAACCAAACTAAAACTCAACCATCAAGTACATGAAGTTAGAACTTCTGTCAAGCTGCTTCCAAATTACAGTGACCCTAGAGTGCAAGCAGGACTGCCTCATGGGGTTTCCAAGACTGTAAATCTTGACAGAAGCAGACTGCCATATCTTTGTCCTATGAAGCAAGTAGTGGGAAAGGTGAGCAGTCACACACTAATCCATTCAACACCAGGACTCCTTTTCTAATATCTGATGTTGCTACTGTGTGCTGTCAGTTATGATTCTTAAGAAACCCTACATAGGGTTTCCAAGGCTGTAACCTTTACAGGATGCAAAAGCCTCATCTTTCTCCTGTGGAGCGACTGGTAGATTTTAAATTACAGAGAGCAGCCTACTACACTACCAGGGCGGCTTCAATAAGCACCGGACCGAGAAGCACAAGGTCTGTGGCTCCCACCAGCCACTTTAAAAGTTAATAGTTGACTTTCTTTATGGGAGAAAGACGAGGCTTTCTTAGAAACCCTATACAGTGTTGTTACAACTCGGAAGGGATACCAACAAAATTAAAGAACAGAAATATATAAGTAAACATTTTGATTAAGTTATGTTCAGAGTGAGACTATTACAAAAATTGGGGGGGAAAAACAACAAAAATAAGCAAACTTTTCTTCTAGTTTGTATATATGACAATGCAGTATGAACAAATCCAAAAAATACAGTCAATCTTCAGATTAAATACAAATTTTGTAAAATGTAAAATATACATGTATTTTTTTAAAAGGTAGAATCTAACTTTTACAAGGGTTCACTGTAAAATTAAAGATTTTTCTCTCTCCTACTATTTGCTAAAACTTGTAGATTAAATCAGAAGATACCGATAGTGATCATTGTAAGTTAAGCATATCATAAAATTGACATTTTCCCTTAAAGTTTGATTTATAATTGTGATTTGTATACTCTAAGACATAGAATGTTAGGGAAAACAGCTAGAATTTCAGAGAATAATAACAAAAAGAACAAGTTCGTTTTTTGTTTTTTTTAAATAAGTTTAGCAGTTTCATTGATGCCATTTGAAATTAACATATATTCTGCTCCAATATGCAGGCTCAATAAATGACCTGAAACTTAACTTTATTAAAGGTGTAGATTCCTATGTGTAGTACAGGAATTAATTAGGTAATAATTAATTAGTGAGAGGATTTCACTAAACATGAATTAAGATAACTGAAGTAAAAAAAAAAAAAAAAAGGTAATGAGCTCATGGAGGATTTACCCATTATTGACTAGAATAAGATACTAAGGATTCCTACTACCAACTTCTTGGTCCCACATTATAAAAAAATATTAGAAAAGCAGCTATTCCAAGTTTTCCAAGTAATAGGATTGAACTTATAACTAGAGTTGAACCCAATTATTCTACCTATGTGAGATATCTGACAAGAAATAATTCTCAAAAAAGAACTGATTTTAAAATTTGGGGAAAAATGAAATAAAAGATACAACTCACCTCATTTATCATTTCTATTTCTCTAAATGTCAATCTGTCCAGCCAATCTACTTTCACCATATGTCCTTGCCGATGAGCCTTAGTGAGCTGCAGAAAAAATCAAATGGAGAATAACTGAACACAGACCTGACAGAAGGATAAAGAATGGGAATGTCAATTTTATATACAGTCCTACACAAAAGAAAACAGACACAACTATCATGATAAACAGACACAACTATCATGATAAACATCTTGACTAACAAGATCAATCAAATACTATATAAGGAAAAACAATCATAAAAATAACAGTATTCAATATGATCCTATATGCAGAAAATCCCAAAGACTCAGTAAAACAGCTACTACTAGACCTCATTGGAAGATTCAGCAAAGTGGCAGGATATAAGATCAACATACAAAAATCAGTTGGATTTCTCTATACCAAAAACGACAGCACTGAAAAGGACATTAGGAAAGCAATACCATTTACAATAACCACCCAAAGGATGAAGTATCTAGGAATAAATGTAACCAGAGAAAAAAAGAACTTATACAAAGAAAACTACAGAACACTACTACAAGAAACCAAAAGGGACCTACAAAAATGGAAGAATGTATCATGCTCCTGGATAGGAAGACTTAACATTGTAAAAATGTCAATACTGCCCAAAGAAATTTACACATATAATGCAATCCCAATCCAGATTCCAACAACATTCTTTAAAGAAATGGGGAAAAAAAAAAAAAATTACAAACTTTATATGGAAAGGAAAGAGACCCAGGATAAGCAAAGCACTGCTTAAGAACAATTAGGTTGGAGGCCTCTCACTCCCCGACTTCAAAATTTATTACATGGCTACAGTGGTCAATACAGCTTGGTACTGGTACAATGAAAG